ATGCAGGAGAATCGCTGGAACCTGGGAGGCGGAGCTTGCAGTGAGCAGAGATCACACCACTGCACTCCAACCTGGGTGACACAGGAGACTCCTTTTCAAAAAAAAAAAGAAACAGAAAAAAAAAAAGAAGAAAATAAAGGAATAAGAGGATGGCTACTCCAGAGACAGAGAAGCCCCGAGGGCTGCTGGTTGCCCATTTTTTCTGGTTATTTCTGTTTTTTTTAGAGACGGAGTCTCACTCTGTCACCCCGGCTGGAGTGCAGCGGCTTGATCTCGGCTCACTGCAACCTCTACCTCCTGGGTTCAAGCAATTCTCCTGCCTCAGCCTACCGAGTAGCTTGGGACTACAGGCGCACGCTGCCACACCTGGCTAATTGTTTTGTTTGTTTGTTTGTTTGTTTGTTTTTTGTATTTTAGTAGAGACAGTGTTTCACCGTGTTGCCTAGGCTGGTCTCGAACTCCTGAGCTCAGGCAATCCATCCTCCTCGGCCTCCCAAAGCGCTAGGATTGCAGGCCTGAGCCACCGTGTCCGGCCTGATTATTTCTTGATGATATGCTAAACAAGGGGTGGACTATTCATGCCTCTCCTTTCTAGACCATATAGGGTAACTTCCTGACTTTGCCATGGCATTTGTAAACTGTCATGGCGCTGGTGGGAGTGTAGCAGTGAGGACGACCAGAAGTCACTCTCGTGGCCATCTTGGTTTTGGTGGGTTTTAGCCCGGCTTCTTTACAGCAACCTGTTTTATCAGCAAGTTCTTTATGACCCGTATTCTGTGCTGACCTCCTATCTCACCCTGTGACTTAGAATGCCTTAGCCATCTGGCAAGGCAGCCCAGTAGGTCTCAGCCTTATTTTACCCAGCCCCTATTCGGGATGGAGTTGCTCTGGTTCACACGCCTCTGACAATACGATTAAAAATATAGGCTAGACTGGGCGCTGTAGCTCATGCCTGTAATCCCAAAACTTTGGGAGGCTGAAGTGGTTGGATCACCTGAGTCAGGAGTTCGAGATCAGCCTGGCCAACATGGTGAAACACTGTCTCTCCTAAAAATACAAAAATTAGCCCGGTGTGGTGGCGTGCCTATAGTCCCAGCTACTTGAGAGGCTGAGGCAGGAGAATCGCCTGAATCTGGGAGGTGGAGGTTGTGGTGAGCTGAGATCATGCCACTGCACTCCAGCCTGGGAGACAGAGCGAGACTCTGCCAAAAACAAAATAATAAAAATAAATAAATATATATATGTGTGTGTATATTATACGTGTGTGTGTATATATATATATGCTAATAGCTGTAAGTGCTTACAGTGTGTCATGCACTCTCCTAAGAAGTCCTTCCCCCCTACCCCTCCCCTTCTTCTTTCCTTTCTGAGACAGAGTATCCCTCTTTCACCCAGGCTGAAGTACAGTGGCACGATCTTGGCTACATAGTCCTAAACACATTTTAGCCAACCTATAAAATCAGAAGGACTTCACTGCAACCTCTGCCTCCCGGGTTCAAGCCATTTTCATGCCTCAGAATAGCTGGGATTACAGGTGCCTCACCATACCCGGATAATTTTTGTGATTTTTAGTAGAGACAGGGTTTTGCCATGTTGGCCAGAAGGCTCTTGAACTCCTGGCCTCAAGTGATCCACCCTCCTCGGCCTTCCCAAGTCCTGGGATTATAGGCGAGAGCCACCGCACCTGGCCAGTGCTCACCTCTTTTAATCCACATACCAGTCCTTTAAGACTATTATGCGAGCACTATTAATAAGTGCTCTTATTATTTCCATTTACAGATAAAGTAAACGAGGCATAGAAAAGTTAAGTAACTTGCTCAAGGTTTCAAATAGTAAGTGGTGAAGACAAAATTCAAGCCCAAGCTACCTGAGTGTAGATATTGAGGTTTAGATGACTGTGTGGATACTGTTGCCATGTATTGAATGATATAGGAAGAGGGACAGATTTTGGGGGAAAGTATTTTAGTTTTACACAGGTTGATATTGGGTTGCCTGCGGGATCACATGAGTGCAGCAGACAGTTGATTAAATGTGTCTGGAGTGCCACAGAAAACTGTAGCTAGAGACTTGAAGAACATCAACATATAGGTGTTTGCTTAGGTGAGGCCACAGGACTGCTCTAGATGAACTAGATACACAAAGTGGAGGTTGGGGTCAAGTGAGGGGGAGGGAAATGGTGAAATAAGGAAGGGGAAACAGTAGCTTGAAGATAAATTTGATTAACTTCAGGATTTCACAGACAATGCCTTGGACTTGGAGACTTTATTTAATTCATGCCCACTGCCACTGCTAGAAGTGTCCTACATCACCACAAGCCTAGGGATTCTTAGGATTCTTGAGCATGTGCCAGGACAGATCCATATTCCTTGTGGTGAGCTGAAACAATTGTCCCCCAAAATATACTCACATCCTGATCCCTACAACCTATGAATGTTACTTTATGTGGCTGAAACAAAAAGAAAAAAGAAAGAAAAACATTGGACTTCATTGTAATTAAAGATATTGAGATGTGGAAATTAGCCTGCATTATCTGGGTGGACTCTGCCACCACATGTATCCTTTGAAAGGGAGTCCGGAGGAGATTTTACAAACACAGAGGGGAAGATGGAGCAGAGAGATTTGAAGATGCTGGTCTTGAAGTTTGGAATAATGTGCTCCAAGCCAAGGAATGCTAGCAGCCACTAGAAAAGACAAGGAGTGTATTCTTCCCTAGAGCAGCTGGAGGAATCATGAACCTACCAGTACCTTGATTTCAGCTCAGTGATACTGTTATCAAACTTTTGGCCTCCAGAGCTATGAGAGAATAAATGTCTGTTGTTATAAACCACCAAGTTTGTGGTAATTTGCTATAGCAACAACAGGAAACGAACACAGTGCTCCTTCAAAATTAGCACTATTTAACACAGTTTGTCCACTAATTCCTAATTCTCAATCGGTCTCAGGCTCCATTTGCAACATATTAGACATAGTGCTCTTGTTACATGCTTTGGTCATGTTTTCTTAGAACACATGGAATAGAGAGAACTTCAGCTCTATATGGATGGAATGGGGTTAAATAGGTGTCTTTACCTGAAAAGTACTATGCAAAATTTTTAGCCTATAAACCCCAAAATGTGTGTGAATAATTGCCGCAGATCTGGCAGCTCCTCTGACTGAACTATATCTTGAGGAGTCATAGAAACCATTCCCCAGACTTCTTTGCCAGCACACTGTCATGATCCCGAAGGAAAAAGGGTATCTGGTTTCAGGCAGACACCTGGCCAACTGGTTGGCATGGCTACTTGGGACAGAGTAACTGTCAGTCAAGAACCATAGGCAGGCCAGGTGCGGTGGCTCATGCCTGTAATCCCAGCACTTTGGGAGGCTCAGGCCAGCAGATCACTTGAGGTCAGGAGTTTCAGACCAGCCTGGCCAACATGGCGAAACCCTGTCTCTACTAAAAATACAAAAATTAGCTGAGCATAGTGGCGGGCGCCTGTAATCCCAGCTACTCGGAAGGCTGAGGCAAGAGAATCATTTGAACCCCAGAGGCAGAGGTTGCAGTGAGCCGAGGATTGCGCCACTGCACTCCAGCCTGGGAGATTGGGCCAGACTCCATGTCAAAAAAAGAGGAGAGGAGAGGAGGGGAGGGGAGGGGAGAGGAGGAAGGAAAGAAGGAAGGAAGGAGAGAGAGAGAGAAAGAAAGAATGAGAAGGAAGGAAGGAAAAAATAAAAAATAACCATGGGCAGACTACATCTTAGGAAAAGTTGGCTGGAGAAAGAAGCACGTGCAGAGGATGAACTGGGATTTGTTGCTGTAAAGCGTGAAAGTGCCACTCACAGCAATGCTGTTAAGATCGCTAGCAACAGTTCTGTCTCTCTCTCTCAAGTGTTACATTGGAAAATAACTTCTGCAAGAAGGATTGGGACATAGTCCTAAACATATTTTTGCCAACTTGTAAAATCAGAGGAACTTCGTAATACTGCTTTTCTCCCAGAACTCCAAAATACCAAGGAATTTTGCAGAAAAACTAAGTATACCTTGGTGGATGTTGAAACCAACATAGTGGAATGTTGGCAGAGTAAAATCCTACAATTTTCAGCTGTGACAGAGAACCTAGAGACCAGTCTACAACTCTCACTGTACAGATGGGAAAACTGAGACTAGTCTAAGTCCACACAGTTAGTTGCAAAATTTAGAGTAAAACCCAGGTCTCTAGGCTGGTGTGTATGTATGTATGCATATATGTATGTATTTTATTTTTGAGACAGAGTCTCTATCTGTCACCCCGGGTGGAGTGCAGGAGTGCGATTTTGGCTTGCTGCAGCCTCCGCCTCCCGGATTCAAGCGATTCTTGTGCCTCAGCCTCCTGAGTAACTGGGATTACAGGCGTGTGCCACCATGTTCAGCTAGTTTTTGTATTTTTACTACAGACCGGGTTTCACCATGTTGGCCAGGCTTGTCTGGAACTCCTGACCTCAAGTGATCTGCCCGCCTGGGTCTTCCAAAGTGCTGGGATTACAGGCGTGAGCCACCACGCCCGGCCAGGCTGGTACTAATTTAAAAGGCAGGGCCCCTGGTTAACGGCCACGAAAGCAGATTTTTTCAACCCAACTTTATTTCGATGAGATATTTCCTCTGCAGCCCGGCTTCAGTGTCCAGTGTTTTACTAGGTTAGGTCCTGATTCGTAGCAATAAAAACATACTTAAAATCGCATTTTCAGTTCACTGGATGACTACAATCATGCTGCCGCCCGCCGAGGGGCGCCAAATAAAATTCCTCTTGCAGTGAAGACACACCCTTTCCGGTCTGGTACGGAAACCGTTTAGCAACCAGGAAATTGGCGGAACCTGGAGGGTGAACGCTTGCACCTGGAGGGTTTGGTTTGTGAAAAGAACACTTCCGGCCGGCGAGTTTTTAACCCCGCATGTCATTAGGTCGGCGCCCAACTCTCACGTTCCGATTGGCCATGCTGACGTTGGAAGGCGGGCTTGCGTATGGGGTCACGCTCTCCTATTGGCTGCTGTTGCGGTGGCGGTTCGGAGTGAGGGTAGCACGTTGAGCTGAAGGCTGTGCGGAGCGGCGCGGCACAGAGCCTGGTGTTGAGCTCAGTATGTCGTGGGAATCCGGGGCCGGGCCAGGTCTGGGTTCCCAGGGGATGGATCTCGTGTGGAGTGCGTGGTACGGAAAGTGCTTCAAAGGGAAAGGGTCGTTGCCACTCTGGGCCCACGGCATCGTGGTCGCCTGGCTCAGCAGGGCCGAGTGGGACCAGGTGACCGTTTATCTGTTCTGTGACGACCATAAGTTGCAGCGGTACGCGCTTAACCGCATCACGGTGTGGAGGAGCAGGTAAGGTGGCGGATTCGGCCCTTTTGCCTGCGTGCTGGTGGCGCTGCACCTCTTCCTTTGTCGAGTTTCTATAAGGCCCTGTTCTCCAGTCTTCCCCTAAGTCGCCTAAAGTTGCCCCTCTCCCAAATGCCTGGGGGAACGCCGCGGCCATCCTTGCGCTAATCCAGTTTGTGGATGGAAAGTAAGGGGTTGTGCCTCAACAATTCTCTTGTTATGTCTGTGAGGTTTACCCATTACCTCCAAAAAGTGACCTTCTCCCAACTTGGAGAGGATGCCGGAGGGACTAGTGAGGCCTGAGCCAGGGCTTAAGGAGTAGGTTAATACCCTTGGGTGGATTTCCGATTTCAATGGGGAGGAGGTCTTGCCTGCAAAACCATGTTTGAGTGGGGCGCCTCAGTCCTGTTGGTAAGATTGAGTTGGGACCCGATTAACAAGGGATAAGGGGCTCCTCTAGCTCAATGAGTTGATTTGGGGGGGTGGGGGGTGAAAGAAAGGGGTGTGTCCACACAACTGTTGATTGACAGTCTACCAGTTAGGTGTCCTGTATACGGCCTAGTCAGCCCCTCATGCCCTGTATACTGTTGGATCCCACAGACATTACCCTGTCTCCCTCACCTTCTTGTTTTGTGTCTGTTCATGCTCTCTTGAACCAGAATATGATGGGTGTAGCCTGCAACAACCTAGGTTCTGAGGTGGAGGGTAGACCAGTGTAAGGGCTCTTTATGATGGTGCTGGACTGTGACCCTTTAGGTCAGGCAACGAACTCCCTCTGGCAGTGGCTTCTACTGCTGACCTGATACGCTGTAAGCTCTTGGATGTAACTGGTGGCTTGGGCACTGATGAACTTAGACTGCTCTATGGCATGGCATTGGTCAGGTAAGACCTGCATGGGGTAGGGGTGGAGGTTGGCTTTGGGGACTGGAGGCAGGGGAGGCATGTGATAAGCAAAACTTGGCTTCAGGTGTTACCTGAAGCAAAACCCTGCGTGTACCTCAGTGTGGGTCAGCCTGTGATTATTGCCTGACTTAACAGCTTTTGGTACCCTTGTCAACACATTCCTCTTTTTCTTCCTTTTTCCTGAAAGCCTTCTCTTCCATTTTTCTTTCTCTCTTGGAATGTGGAGGAAGGGATTCAGACCAGGTGATCTCTGTGGGTCTCTTGATGGTCTGATATTTTTTCTTACCTTTGAATTCCTCACCCAGAGGAACTTGTCTGAATGGCTCGATGTCCTTGCCCGTGATTTAATGTGGACTTTCCAACCCTGTCCCTGTCTATTCCTAGCACCACCCTTTTCCCCTTCTCTCCTCATGAACACTGAAAGATTGCTGAGTTATGGAAGTGGAGACATGGGCTGGGAATTCCTGACTTACAAAGTGACTCATAATGGTTCTAGCTGTATACACATTGGAAAAAAGGTTGCTACTGAGTTTTCATATCTGTCAAAGTCTTTGTTTATCTATTGTTCCCCTTGTCTGCCTTGAGATCCCCCCTTTCTCTTCTTATTTTCTCCATTGGTTAGCTGTGCTCCCCATTATCTGATATAGTCCTTTGCAGCATTTATAGCATATTATGTTCTAGCCTAATACATTACATTATGTCATGATTATTTATCCTAGACCGAACTGTTCAAGGCTAGCGCAGTGTCTTATTCATCTGTATGGCTTCATTATAGTGCAGACTCTCATTAAATGTCGGAATGGATGGAACTGTCCCTGCTCTGGCTGACACCAACTGTAAGAATAGGACAAGACAGTCAGTGGAAAAGTTGTGGAAATGCAGGGTTTCAGTAACTCAGCAAAGCGTTTGGAATAAAATGGTTCCTTGGGCTGTGCCACTTATTTTTCCCTCAACTCCAGGTTTGTGAATCTTATCTCGGAGAGGAAGACAAAGTTTGCCAAGGTCCCCCTCAAGTGTCTGGCTCAAGAGGTGCGTATGATTCAGTGAACTTGCTCAATTCTCTCTCCAAGAGGGTTCACCAGATGGGGCATGGGGTAATGTGGGCACACAGTCAGACTAGCTCTTCCCATCACTACCAGCCAAGCCCTGCAAGAATCCCAGAGCCTCAGCTTCCAGCCTGAAGGAGGCACAGTTGCTCCCTTGCTCATGACTGGTATCTCAGAGGGCTTGGCCTGCCCAGCTTGCTGGGAGGAGCCCAAATGTAGCACTGGGTGGGGACAGGAAAGAGGTGACAGTCAGAAGGAGGAGACAGCTCAGCCACTGTGAGTCACTTTGTAAATCAGGAATTCCCATCCCATGTCTCTACTTATGTAACTCAGACATTCTTGCCCTGAGTGAGTATGTGAAGTGTGTAGAGGCCCAGAGGGCAGGCATGTTCTCAGTCATTAGCACTTCCCAGAGTAGGTGTAAGAGGGAAACAGGGGTAAAGGATACTCAAGGAGAAGGACACGGTGGAGGGAGGCTGGAGAACGTGATTGTTAATGCTCATTCACAGGTATTTCTTTGTTATAAAAGGGTGGTTGGTGGTTAGGGGAGGTATGTGCCTTTTCTGTTTCAGATTTTCTTTTCTTTTTTTGAGACGGAGTTTTGCTCTGTTGCCCAAGCTCGAGTGCAGTGGCGTGATCTTGGCTCACCACAATCTCCGCCTCCCAGGTTCAAGCGATTCTCGTGCCTCAGCCACTCGAGTAGCTGGGATTACATTTATTTTTGGTAGAGACGGGGTTTCACAATTTTGGCCAGGCTGGTCTCCAACTCCTGGCTTCAAGTGATCTGCCCGCCCTGGGCTCCCAAAGTGCTAGGATTATAGGCATGAGCCACTGTGCCCGGCCCACTTTTCTAATTTTCAATACCTCCTCCATAGAGCAGTAAAAAAAGAATAAGGAGAGCTGGTTTTTTATCTTGGCTCTGTCACTATGATTGGAATCTTCTTTCAGGACCTCAGTTTCTCTAGTTGTAAAATAGGGCAGAGGGTGGTCAGGATAGTTAATCTCTGGCTCCCTTCCAGCTTTAATATTTTCCAATTTCTATACTCACACCCTCCCCTGTAATCAGGTAAACATTCCGGATTGGATTGTTGACCTTCGCCATGAGTTGACCCATAAGAAAATGCCCCATATAAATGACTGCCGCAGAGGTGAGTCCTCAGAGGGTATACCTATTACAGTTAAACCCAGGGGCCTGGGCTTGGTGGCACTAAGGGTAGAGGGATAGGCAGGAGGGTCTTCACCTGGAGCCAAGGCTGGGACTAGGGTGAAAGAAGTAAGGCCTCGTCTTGGGCACAACATTTAAAGCGGGGAGAAGTCAGAAGTTCCATAATCAAGATAAATAACATATTAATGTGGAAAAATTCATGATAAACATAATATCAAAACTTTAAATAAAGCAGGATTAGTATTACTGATTTCTCCTTTTGTTTCAGCTTCCAACATGGCTTGGCATATTTTGATACCTTGACTACAGAGGTTTTTTTTGCCTGCCCTTAAGTTGTTTTTGTTTGTTTGTTTGTTTTGAGACAAGTCTCACCTGTTGCCCAGGCTGGAGTGCAGTGGCACGACCTTGGCTCACTGCAACCTCCACCTCTTGAGTTCAAGTGATTCTCCTGCCTCAGCCTCTTGAGTAGCTGGGTCTATAGGCACACGCTACTACGCGTGATTAACTTTTTTTTTTTTTTGAGACAGAGTCTCGCTCTGTCACCCAGGCTGGAGTGCAGTGGCGCAATCTCAGTTCACTACAACCTCCACCTCCTGGGTTCAAGTGATTCTCCTGCCTCTGCCTCCTGAGTAGTTGGGATTACGGGCACCTGCCACCATGCCTGGCTAATTTTTTTTTTTTTTTTTTGTATTTTTTAGTAGAGATGGGGTTTCACCATATTGGTCAGTCTAGTCTTGAACCCCTGACCTCATGATCTGCCCGCCTCGGCCTCCCAGAGTGCTGGGATTACAGGCATGAGCCACTGCACCCGGCTGCATTTTAGTAGAGTTGGGGCTTCATCATGTTGGACAGGCTGGTCTCAAACTCCTGACCTCAAGTGATCTGCTTACCTTGGCCTCCCAAAGTGCTGGGATTATAGGCGTGAACCACAGTGCCCGGCCACTCCCCCATTAAATGTTGTTCCTGAAGTAGTCCCTCATTAGTCTCACATACCTCTCTGTAGTTGAGGTGGGGAGGTTGCCAGAAATGAGCTATCAGCAGTGTCATGAACCCAAGAGTTCCTTGGACATCCACCCCATCCCGATTAAGAGTCCCGGATTTAGCCTTACCTTTTGTGATGGGAAAACTGAGATCTAGGAAAGGGGAGACTTGGCCAACGCCATGTAACTAGCTAATGGGGCTGATTCCTACTTCTCCCACTTACTAGCCACTTGCTGTTTTTGGCATCCCGTCTCTAAGTCCAATAATAGTTTTTTTCTAGTAAAGGTGCTTGTGAGCAGGATAAAGCAAAGAACGGGGATAACCCAGAGTGAAAGAGGCTGCTTCTGGATATTTGAGATTTGAACCTTGGAGCCAAGCCTTTTCCTGGGGCCTTCCTATAATGCCCACAAGATGAGGCTGGAGGCCTGCTAGCTGCCTGCCTGATCCTGTGGCACTGCCTTCCTTCCCTCCTCTAGGCTGCTACTTTGTCCTAGATTGGCTCCAGAAGACCTATTGGTGCCGCCAACTGGAGAACAGCCTGAGAGAGACCTGGGAGTTGGAGGAGTTCAGGGAAGGGATAGAGGAAGAGGATCAAGAGGAAGATAAGAACATTGTTGTTGATGACATCACAGAACAGAAACCAGAGCCTCAGGATAATGGGAAAAGTGCGGAGTCAGATGTAAAGGCCGATGGAGACAGCAAAGGCAGCGAAGAGGTGGATTCTCATTGCAAAAAGGCCCTGAGTCATAAAGAGCTATATGGTAGGTGTTTTGGAGGGCAGAAAGGGGCCCATGAGCCCAGAAGGCTCAGGCTTAAGAGTTAATGCTGTTTATTTCCCTGGCTCAGCATTTCCTCTGGGGCTGTGGTGAGTCTTAGCTTAAAAAATTACTGTCACAAACCATCTTCCTGGCTAGTTTCCATAGTATAATGGCTGTCACATTCACTTCACAAACCATCTTGAGCCCTGTGAAGTAGTTGGGGAAAGAATTCTAGTTCCCCAATTACAACTCAAGAAATGAGGTGAGAGAGGCTCAGAATCCCATCAGGAACAGGGGTCTGGGCTGGCAGTCCTATCTGTTTCCCCATTCTGTTTTCAGAAAGAGCCCGAGAACTGCTGGTATCATATGAAGAGGAGCAGTTTACGGTAAGAAAGTGCCCTGGACTTGATGTGCTCTCATCTGCCCCAGCCATTTCTTCCCTTTTGCCAGCTACCTGAGACAAGTCTTGAGAAGGAATGTGAAAGAAAAGTGACAAAGCGTGAGGGAACTACTCGGAAAGAGAGAGGGGGGAACTAGGAAGGACACAAGAGGAGCAGAGTCCAAGTGACTGATCCTCCACACCGATGGAAGGGAACAGATGATGAAGTTTGCGGATAATCTGCCCCACTGGGTGGTAGGGAACAACTGGGAGTGGGTAGTTGCGCAGCCTTGCAATTCTGAAGCTGACCAGTAGATGGGGCCCAAGAGCTTCCCTAAATCAGGTGAGCTGGAGGGGTGCTGTTTTTAGGGAGGTCACTCAGAAACCATTTAGTTCAGTCCTCCCGTTTCACAGATTAAGAAGTTGAAGCCATGGATGAGTGAAGGGACAGGCCCAAAGTCACATATACAATTAATGATAGAACCAGGATTAGTACCTGGATCTCCCAGTTATCTTTCTTCTGTAACTCATTGCCTCCCCTCATCCCTGGCCCTTTGGCCTAAGAGTCTGTATCTCCAGCCAAATTCCCCCATTGAACATCTCAGTATTTGCCCACAGGAAATTCAGTTGGAGGAGGGAGGGAGAGAGAAAGAGGAGAAAGTCTCGCATTTGAGAGTCAGGCTATTTTTAGTTGCAAGGCCAATAGGGGAGTTGTGGGCCCACCCTTGCATGCCCTGCCCTGTCCCCTGCAGGGCAGTGCTGAGATGTCCTATGGGAAGGGATCCTGGAGGGGTGGAGGTGGGTTGCTTGGCTGAACCAGCCTTCTGATGGGACCCTCTTTACTGGCAGGTGCTGGAGAAATTTAGGTATTTACCTAAGGCCATTAAGGCGTGGAATAACCCGTCCCCACGTGTAGAATGTGTCCTGGCAGAGCTCAAGGGCGTTACATGCGAGAACAGGTGTGTAACTAGGTAACCGGGAGCTGCGTATTCTCTAGGATAGAGGGTAGCAGCCTCATTGAAATTGGTTTCCCTATCCTAGCTTGCCAATCTCTGCTGTACAGAATCCCAGGGATAATCCTGATCCCCTCCACAGTGACCCTACATTTGGCAGAACTGTTTGCCCTCGACCCTGCCAACTTCCAGGTGGGGTTTGCCTATACTAGAATGGCCAGAGGCAGGAATGCCCACTGTCATCCATCTCCTGGCCAGCTGCTTTCCTGTCTGTCGGGTGGCATGTGGAGCTCTTGACAACTAGGAAAATCCCTTGATAATTACCACCTCACTGCCTAGCCCTTGTCTAAGTTTGAGGTAAAAAATAATATGGTAGGTGTTGCTAGTCTTGTCTTTTTTTTTTTTTTTTTTTTTTTTTTTTTTTTTTTTTTTTTTTTTTTTGAGACAGTATCTTTCTCTGTTACCCAGGCTGGAGTGCAGTGGTGCAGTCTTGGCTCACTGCAGCCCACCTCTTGGGTTCAAGTGATTCTCATGCCTCAGCCACCAGAGTAGCTGGGACTACAGATGTGAGCCACCACGCCTGGCTAGTTTTTGTATTTTCAGTGGAGACAGGGTTTCACCATGTTGGCCAGGCTGGTCTCAAACTCCTGGCCTCAAATGACCTGCCTGTCTGGACCTCTGAAAGTGCTGGGATTACAGGCATGAGCCACTGAGCCTGACCTTTTCTCTTTTTTTATGATAGGGTCATGCTCTGTCACCCAGGCTGGAGTGCATTGGTGCGAACATAGTTAACCACAGCCTCAACCTCACAGGCTCAAGAGATCCTCCCACCTCAGCCTCCTAAGTAGCTGGGACCAACAGGCATGCACTACCACGTCTGGCTAATTTTTTAATTTTTTGTAAAGGTGGGGTCTCACCATGTTGCCCAGACTGGTTTCAAGTTTGGGGATTCAAGAGATTTTCCTGCCTTGGCCTCCCAAAGTGCTGGGATCACAGGTGTAAGCCACCGCAGCCGGCCTGGTCTTGTCTTGTCTTTTTTTTTTTTTTTTTTTTTGAGACGGAGTTTCGCTGTTGCCCATGCTACAGTGCAGTGGCACGATCTCGGCTCACTGCACCCTCCACCTCCCGAGTTCAAGGGATTCTCCTGCCTCAGCCTCCCAAGAAGCTGGGACTACAGGCAAGCACCACCACGCCCAGCTAATTTTTGTATTTTTAGTAGAGATGGGGTTTTGCCATGTTGGCCAGACTGGTCTGGAACTCCTGACCTCAGGTGATCCGCCTGCCTTGGCCTCCTAAAGTGCTGGGATTACAGATGTGAGCCACCACGCCCAGCCTGGTGTTTTCTTTTGAACTGCCATTGGAGGGTATTAGCATCCCTTGGATAGTCATGATTAGGGGAATAGAGGCAGGACCTTCTCAGGGTCTGGCTCCTAGAGACTAAGTTCCTTGTCTCTCAAGTATGGCTGTGAGCCTTTTTTTTCCAAAACAAAGTGCTCAGCTCAGTCCAGAGCAGGCACATAGGATGTCTGCCCATTCTTCTTTCCTCCCTAGCTCTTGGGGGCTTTTCTACCTAAATTCAGCTGGAAGGGCTTTGGGGGACTTTCCTCTAAGAACCTGTGGAGGCAGTGCTAAACCTCAGCTAGAGAGAAGTTGGAGAGTGTAGGTAGGTGGTGTAGGTGGCAGATTAACCCTGGGTGAAAACTACAGTGTAGGCTGGGATTGCCCCTGGAGTCTTCTATTCATGTCCAGGATACTAGTTCCAAAAGTATTTTATCAGTGTTTGTCCAGCCTAGGTTTCTTGGCTCTACCTTTCAGCAAAAGAGTTGGTGGTGGCTTCATTAGCAGCTGGGAAAACTATGCCCCTAACACAGTAGTGTCTGCCTGGTAATGCTGGAGGGAGGGATCTAAGTATGTCAATTTTCCAGGCATTAGGACACCTTGGGAGCTCTTTTTTCCACGTCTAGGCTTGGTCAGCTAGGAGAATGTCTGTATCTGTTTAGTGTTGCTATAAAGGAATACCTGAGGCTGGGTAATTTATGAAGAAAAGAGGTTTGTTTATATCATGCTTCTGTATCCTGTACGAGAAGCATGGTGCCAGCATTTGCTTCTGGTGAGAGCCTCAGGCTGCTTCTTCCACTCATGGCAGAAGGCAAAGGGGAGCCCACTTTGCAGAGATCAGATGGCAAGGTGGAGGGGGAGATGTCAGGCTCTTTTTTAACAACCAGCTCTTGCAGAAACTAATAGAACAAGAACTTGATACTGTGGGAACAGCACCAAGTCATTCATGAGGGATCCGACCCAGTGACCCACACCCCTTCTACAGGCACCAAGGTCAACATTGGGGATCAAATTTCAACATAAGATTTGGAGGGGACAAACATCCAAACTGTAGCAGAGAGCTTCTTGGGAAGCCACTAACTCTGGAGGAATCAGCTTGCTGTTGCTGGTGTAGGTTTGAGCTATTAACCCATTTATGCTGGCGGTTCCAATAATGGAACACTAGGCATAAATGGGTTAATAGATAGAGATGGGTGATTACCTCTATAGCCTATTCCTGCAACCCCTCTAACTTTGTTCTGGGTTTTTAGAACCCCTAGTAATAAGGCCTGTGGACCATATTTGGTCTAGCAGTTGGGTCCCCAAGGTTTCTACTTCTAGGATCTAAAAGAAGGTAGCCAGGGAGAAGAGAAGGGGTAGGGTACTGGAGAGTGGTTAAGAGAAACAGACTGCAAGAACTGAGTCGAAAAGCCCTTGACCCCATGATCCCAGGCATTTAATTCCTTCCTCTGTGGATGTGGAACTTTTTCCTGTCTGTGTGTTGAAGTGTATTCAGACACTACTGCCCTCATTATGGGCCATAGATCAGCATTAGTGCTTGGTAAGCACTTGTTCAAAACCCACTGATCCCAGCCTCTAACCAGCCCCTGCCCGAGGAGGCCGAAGCCTAAGATCCAATTGTCAACTCCCTTCCTCCCCACTCCTACCCACTCACCACCCCTCTCCCTATACTGCTTCAGCCACTTGAGCCAGAGGCATTAACTGCTTTGGAGGTAGGTGGAGGAGTAGGAGAGGGTCTTCTGCCAGCATCACTTTGCTAAATTAGTGTCCTCTTCTTCCAGGGAGGCTGTGCTGGATGCTTTTCTGGATGATGGCTTCCTTGTCCCCACATTTGAACAGTTGGCAGCTTTGCAGATAGAGTATGAAGGTAGGGTTCTGGGGGCTCACTGTACCCTTAGGGTTCTGATTCTTGGGTGGGAACACCTGGGGTGGGCTGGGGGGCCCTGGGTTGGGGTGTGAAGGCTGTTTCCTGCCATTCCGCGGTCTCTGAAATTCCCTCAGCCTTTCTGGCTGAGCAGAACAGGTAGCCCCACTGACAGTTGTGGGGCTGTCCTTAAGTGGTCTGGAATGGGGTGGGGTGGGATGGGGTGGGGTCGGGGAGTCTTAATGACATTATTGTGCCATGTTCATTGTGATTTAGCTGCTAGCTAGAGAGCTAGAACAGCAGAATTGGAGGGGCCTTGTGAGGTCATCTAGTCCAACATCCTCATGTTACAGATGGTCAGACTGAGGTCCAGAGAGGGGAAGGTACTGACCCAAAGTCACACAGTGAGTTATTGACAAAGCTGAAGCTAGAACCAGATCTCTGTTTTGTTTATACTTTATTTTGAGTCAGTTGTTGGTTGCCAGATACTAACTGGTTTCTCTCTCCCCACTGTTCTGCTCTCCTCTTTCCTTTGTTCTGCGGTGGCAACTCTGTTGTTGGTGGGGGGCTTGGCTCATGCGCGCGCACACATTCTCTTGCTCTCACTCTCACTTCCTTTCTCTTGCTGTCTCTTGCTCTCTCTTTCGTGCTCTCCTGCTCTCTCCCTCCTATTGCCCCCTCAAATGGGTGTCCCTTACAAACCAGAAAACGTGGACTTGAATGACGTCCTGGTGCCAAAGCCGTTCTCTCAGTTCTGGCAGCCCCTGCTCAGGGGCCTGCACTCCCAGAACTTCACGCAGGCCCTATTGGAGAGGATGCTCTCTGAACTGCCAGCCTTGGGGATCAGCGGGATCCGGCCTACCTACATCCTCAGATGGACCGTTGAACTGATCGTGGCCAACACCAAGACTGGTGAGGGAGACTAGCCCTAGCCCTGGGGCCTAAGGCAGCCCAGGCAGGAGCCTCTGCCGCTGTCCTCAGCTCTCTGCTAAGAAGCACCAGGCAAACACCTCCCGTGTTAAAGGTTTAGGTTTGCCCAAGAGGGCCCCGCGGAAGCAGTGGACAAATCTCCCTTTTCCTTTTCTTCTCAGAGCCAACTAAACTGGGCTGGGGCAAAGTGCCCTGAATTCTTTGAGCAGTTGGGAGGTATAGGTGGGGAGTCTGGGGGGATGGGGAGGGACAGAGCCAAACTTTCTGAGGTGAAATGTTGGGTGGGGGGCTCACTGCTTCCTTCTCCTTAGATCCTCTCTTCTCTCTCAGGACGGAATGCTCGCCGATTTTCTGCAGGCCAGTGGGAAGCAAGAAGGGGCTGGAGGCTGTTCAACTGCTCCGCCTCCCTTGACTGGCCCCGGATGGTTGAGTCCTGCTTGGGCTCACCTTGCTGGGCCAGCCCCCAACTCCTTCGGATGTAAGTCTCTTGAATTCCATCCGGTAAGAGGGTGAGGCGCTTCAAGCCTCGGGGCCACACTGCCCTAGAATGACTGAGTTAGAAGGGCCCTTTGGGGACAATCTAGCCCAGTCTCACTCCCACTGACAGATGGGACAACTGAGTCCAGAGAGGGGAGGGGTAGCGTTTTCTTACCTAAGATCATACAGCTTAAGACTTGACTGAACTGAGTCCAGTGTGGGAATGGATAAGACAATCCCCCTAGAGTGCTTAGCACAGTGGCCTGCACAGAGTAAGTGCACAATAAATGGTAGCTGCTGTTTATTATTGAACCCAGGTCTTCTGACTCCAAGCCCAGTGCTGTTTCCTCTATTATCTTTCCAAAGTATACCTCTGATAGTTGCTTAGCAACCTTCAGTTGCTCCCTATTGCCTTCCTGTTAAGTCTAGGCTTCTTAGCCTGACATTCAAAGATCTTTCTGATTCTGGCCCAACTTACCATGGTAGCCATACCTCCTGTGAGTCTCCTTTACCCCATCCACCCTGGGTTCTATGGTCAAACTGAATATTGCACTGGTAAATACCTGTGGTTGTCTCCCTTTCCTTTTCTCTGTCATTTCCTGACCCTGAGCCACTTCCCTCATAATCATGGAAGCCTTTAGCACCTGATTTCCTTCTTGCTTTCTTGAGCAATATCTGTTTCATTTGGATGACTCATCTGACACTCTGCAGCTCCTCAACTCCAGTGACTTTCATTCTCCACTACACTCAGCAACCCATTTCCATCATTCGGAGCTGTTCCACCTCTGAAAGCTGACATCCCAGCATCCCACTCGGTGACCACCACTTCTCGTCCTTCTAGTTCTCACCCTTGCATCCCATGACATTTGCTCTTTGCCTGCATCCAGATCTCCATCCCTCCATTTCCTGCATCCCTTGACCTTGCTTCCCCTCTATCCTGTCTGTGGTTGCTCAGTTCGGCCACTCATCATCAGCACCTTCAGCTTTGCCCATCCTTTGGCCATATCTGACTTGCAAACCCCTGAGCTATAATTGATCCTCCCCATTCTGCTTCCCCTGCTCCTCAGCCCGGGTAGCTGAGCTCTGCTGGAGAAAACCACATAGCCCTGCGGATTGCTGCCACTGCAGAGGTATGATTTTTAATCTTGGGCGAGGCCTCAGTTCTGCTTGTCTGAACTTTTACTTGTTTTCTGACCACTTTCTCTCCCATTTCCTCACTATTCTAAACCCTTACCGCTCACCTCAAGCCCCTCCCCCTCTCCCATTTCACCCTAGCTTCCTCGAGCACATGGAGGCATCCGGCAGGGCCCCCTCGACCTGAGGTCCAGCCCTCGTGAACTGATCTGCGGCTGCACTCAACCTTCTCGCCAGTCTCAGGATGAGGTGGCCTTGCCCCACCTCAAAGCCTGCTCCTCCACCTGTGCTCTGGAGCCACCTCTGCCAGCATCGCTGGGGCCTCACCCCAGCCTCTACCTTGCTCTGCTGGCTCTTGCTCTTCAACCTAGGAACGTGCCTGAGCTTTTCTCATCTTAAACAAAACAACAGTAACAGCAACACAAGCAAAATCTCCTTTGACCCTGCATCCCTCTGTTGGGTTATCATCAGCTTATCATTCCCACCCTTCCCATCAAAACATCTCAAAAGAGTAGTCTACACTCAACACTCTCCATTTCCTCACTACCCTCTTACTCCTCAACCTGCTGCAATTTGACATTCACCCCCAGAGTTGCTTTGACCTCCTAGTTACCAAATCAGTGGGCCCTTGTCAGTCTCTGTGTCTGCTGCATTGATGCTGTTTACCACCCCCTCCTTGAAAAATGCCTGTGCTTATTACTAGTTCCTATAAAGTGCTGAGACCCAAATCTGTCTAGTTCTGGCCCTTCCCCCAAGATTCAGCCTCCTGTACTCGACTGCATGTGAGACATCTCCCCTTGGATGGCCCACAGGCACCTTACTGTGACCAAAAGAGAATTGGTCGTCTTAGTCCCCATCTCAACTCTAAAGTGGTCTTCCTCCTCTGTTCCCTATCTCACTTGGTGGCGGCACCATCTACCCTGTCCTGTTGACTCTCGAATACTTCCCAAATCTGAGGTTTTGTGTTGCCGTGTCTACTTCCCCTAGTGTCTCCTTCCCTCTATCAGACTAAGCTTTTCAAGGGCAAGGACTCTACATCAGCTGTCTGTGCCCCAGCACACCACACAAGTCTAGGCACCAAACAGGCCTCGGTAAATGTTGTTGAATTGAACCATGCTCTGCTCTCTCATTCCTAGCAGTGCTGTCCTTGGTGGGAGCTGACCCAGTGCCTGGGGAATGAATGAAGTGGGAGTCTGGATGCCAAGACCCTCTTAGTCCCTGATCCCCCTATTGAGTCCAAAAGTCTTTCTTTAACCCTGATGACATTTGGGACACAGAGGTATTTGTAAGATTTTAAAAGTGGCTTTGTAGACAAAGTCAGTCAAGGCAAGACTTCCAGAAATTGGGACTGAACAGCCACATTGCCAGATGTGTGCTCCAGACCAGAAGTGATGTTGATGGGTGGGAAATTGGGAGGAGAACCAAAAGGGCCTGGATGAGTCAGAGTTTCGAGAGGAGGCATTTGAACAATTCAAGCAGGAGAAAGAATAAAGCAAGTTTCAAAGTCCAGAAGGAACATGGCATGTGTATGTAATGGGAGGGAGGGAATGACAAGAGCAGCATGGAGAGGTTTGGATAGGTGGCCTTCAAGGTACTTTCCAATCCTAAGTGCCTGCAGAGTGGAAGCTGCTGGTCTTGGAGAAGTCTGGACCACAGAGATCTTCTCCCAACCCAAGCATACCAGAGGGATGCGAGACATGCCAGCAGTAACAGCGGCTCACTTGGGTACGATTTCTTGTGCACAGATCCTGCCTTTCCCAGATAAGCAGTGAATCTAGTCCTAATCACCCCATTACACAGAGTGGGGAACAGAGGGTGTTTGCCCAGGTATTATGCTGCAAGTCAGAGCTGGGGCCAGAATCCAGATAGCCTGTCGTTAGTCCCATGCTCTTCTGTAATACTCCACTAGATTGTATTATTGCAGAAAGCATCTGTTAAACACAGAACTTGGCTTTTGTTTACCCCAGAGAAAAAATAAAAGATACTATTGGAAATTAAGTGTCAGGCATGGTGCTGTGTTTTTTTGTAGAGGTTAATTTCATTTACTTTGACACAGCAGTCTTGGGAGGTGGAAGTATTATGTATTATAACCTATTTGACAGATAAGACATTGAGGCTCTAAGGAGTGATGGGACTTACCTAATAGCCACATATTTGTTGATGGTGGGACAGGGATCTTGGCCCAGGTGGTGTGAGCCCAAAGTCCACCTTCATTCCATCAGCCTGAATTCTGTGACCTTCTCAGTCCTGAGCTATGACCAGACATACTTGAGGAAGGGGGTGTATTTTAAGATTCGCATCACCCCTGCACCTTAGTGGTCAGACTAATGGCTCAAGATAGCAGGTGGGTAATCATAAGCAGGCTGATGAGGCGTTTTGCCAGTATCAAGTGTCTGGGAATATTTGTTATTAATCACACTAATGGACCACCATGAGAGGACAAAGTTTCTCTCTGGCTTTTCATCTGATAGGGCTGGAAGCTTTTCAAGCACTTTCCCCAGCCAGCCAATATCAATTTAATTTGAACTACTATCCCCTTGGAATATGAAATTGGCTCCATAGACAGGATCTCCCAGTCAAGTCATCAGCCCCCCAGCCCTGCCCCCACTGACCAGTCACCCTGCATATGTGACCAGTCTGCATGTGCCCAGAGAAAACAGCCTGCTGAGCTCATGGCCCGTCTGTGAACCATCCGCATCCATTTGTGACCAGGTGCCCGTTAGGTACCAGGTTCTATGAGAGGCTCTGTGAGGGGTACTCGCCCTCTTCTCACCTCGAGCTCCCCTTCCCAGCAGCTCTGTATCTGTTGGTGGTTTTGCTGTTGGCGCCGTCTTTTGTGTGCACAGTGTCATCATCTTTAACTCTGCCTGACCCCTGCCATCAGTCACCAAACCCTGCTCTCTGTCTGTGTATCCTTCACAGCTTCACTCCATCCCATCTCCACTGCCAGTGCCCCAGGTCAGCCCTCCCCGACTCTGGCCTCAACTGTCGGAACAGGCTCCTCCCTGGTCTCCCTGCCTCCAGGCTGCCTGTCCAGGCCAGCTTCCACATGGTCACCATGGTGATCTTCAGAAACATGGCCTTCATGTGTACTCAGAATTGGCAAGTGACCCCTCACACACACACCAATGCACACACATAACTTCCCAGCCCTCTCTTCCTCCCACGGCTCCTCAGCACAGGCCGTGCCCTCTAGCTGGGCTACTCACTGCACGCAGCAGCACCGTGTGCTTGCTCTTGTCTCTGGGCTTCCCGGGCCCTACCTCCTGCACGAAAGCCCTCCCTTGGTCTTTCCTACCCTCCTCGTGCTCTCTGTCTCCCTCAGTCCCGCAGTGCCTGCAGTAGGTTTGCAGTGCTCATCTGGCCTCCCTCCCACATCCTGCTTTGTCTTGTCAGCCGCTGCTTTTTTTTTCTTTTCCTCCATTCCAGGCTGGGCTGTAGCTGCTCCCATAAAGGGATCACAGTTTGTGTTCCACGCAGAAGGAGCCCAGAACACTTCCAGGCATATCCTTGGAGCTCAAGACAGGTTGCTCAGCTAGGCCAGAGAAGAGAGGGATCTGCTCATTTCCAGCCCTGCAGGCCTGTTGGCTGTTTTGTGTATTTATGTAGCTTTTAAGTGCAGACTAATAGCTATCATTTATTGCATGCCCACTATGTGCCAGGCACTGTGCCAGGCATTCTATGTGAGCTTTCTTATTTACTCCTCCCAACAATCCTATACATTAGGTATCATTATTGTCCTCATTTTACCTGAGAATGGAAGTGAGGCACAGAGATGAACCACAGAGCTTGTTCGGGGTCCATGGTCCTGTTGTTTCTATGTTCTGTCTGCTCTACTACACTGCCTTTCAGAGGCAGGTCTGGAAGTTCAGAGACCAAGTTCAAACCCTGGAGTGTTGGGGTATGAAGTGGCTTGGGATTTTGAATCTTTCCTACCCCATCCCTCCCTTTGCTCAGCATCTTCAAAGCCATGGGGCAGGGCCTGCCAGACGAGGAGCAGGAGAAGCTGCTGCGCATCTGTTCCATTTATACCCAGAGTGGAGAAAACAGCCTGGTGCAGGAGGGCTCTGAGGCCTCCCCCATTGGGAAGTCTCCATATACACTAGACAGCCTGTATTGGAGCATCAAACCAGCCAGCTCCAGCTTCGGGTCTGAAGCAAAGGCCCAGCAGCAGGAGGAGCAGGGCAATGTTAATGATGTCAAGGAAGAGGAGAAGGAGGAGAACGAGGTCTTGCCAGACCAGGTAGAGGAGGAGGAAGAAAATGATGACCAAGTGGAGGAAGAGGAGGATGAAGATGATGATGAAGACGATGATGATGAAGATGAAGAGGAAGACAGAATGGAGGTGGGGCCTTTCTCTACAGGGCAAGAGTCCCCCACTGCCGAGAATGCTAGGCTTCTGGCCCAGAAAAGAGGAGCTTTGCAGGGCTCTGCATGGCAGGTTAGCTCAGGTAAGAACTACTTTGTCCCCACATGAACTTCTTTTCTCTTTGGCTGGCTCTTGAGGCTTCCTTCTACCCTAGGAAGAGATGGAAAGTAGCAGGAGGTAGCCAATGTGAGGCAAGCCAATGTGAGGTATGCACCTGGAGGTAGCCTGGTGCATAGATGACAGGTGGCTTCTCCTGCCTCTTAGGATGGAGCCTGTGAGTGCCAGGGACCACTGTCAGGCTGCTGGCTACCTCATATAAAGAGCACATTCTGAGAGGATGACATGGGTGTGAGCCCTGGGCAGTAACATAGAGGCAGAAGATAGCAGAAAGTAGGGAGTGTGTACGTATATGGTTCTGTACGTGTTTTTCACTTGCAGTGAGACAGTGCTTTCTGTGTATGTGTGTGTGTGCCTCGAGGCTGGCTGGTCATGAGACAAGATTTTGCTGTGTGTATTAGAAAGAAGGAACCTAGGGCATTAAGTCAGAGAAACAGGAAGTGAAATCACAAGAGAGAATAAGGAATGCTGTGATTATTAGGTGAGCACACAAATTAGTGAGACCGAAGCCAGGAAGAGGCTGCAGGGAGGGTTAGTGATAGGGATCTGCTCCTCCTTTTGAGTACCCTTGCTTAGGTTAATGAACAGGAACCTTGGAGGCTGGAAGACCCAGAAGGAATGACAGAACAGTGTGGAGTCTGTGTGCTGAAGCCTGGGGAGGGAGGGAGAACAGCTGGGCCTGTGTGGTGTGGGGTGGGCAGTGGCAGAAAGTGAGAGGGGAGGCAGTGAATGAGTTTACAGAGAAAGATACTATGGCCTTTGTTTGCCCTTGTATGGACAGGGCGGAAGGGCTGAAACATAAAACATAAAATCTGTCTCTCTGTGTGTGTATATGGGCGTGTGCCTGTACCTGCTGGCCAAACCATGGCCCAGTGACAAATAACTTAGGGCAAGGAGGGCTGTGTTGGGGGGTCTTTGTAAATATTGAAAGGGAGGGGCATTGACATAAGCAGAATTGTGTGTGTGTGTGTGTAGGAAAAAGGGAAAAGTAGGGGCAGTTAAAGAAGTCATGGCCAAGCAGGCTGTTGTACAGCTTTGTGAAGAGGAGGCAGGGTTGCTGAAATCCATGAGGGCTAATAGGTGTCTGTGAGAGAAAAGTGACAGCATTGAGGTTGGCATCTATGGAGGGGTAGTGGGAACAGGCAATGAGATATAGCCATCCAGAGGTGGCCTGTATGTTCACACCATCACTGGGGCCATGTACAAGGGTATCAGGATAAAGAAGCAGGGGCAGTGACGTAGACAGCATTGGGCATATTAGTGATGATAGATGATTGGGTCAGTGACAGAGCCTATGTGGGTAGTGGTCCCTGTGCACGAAGGTGTCTCTGTATCATGGAGTAATGCAGGACATTAAGACAGGCACAACTTCGAATAAGAGAGCCAGGGGAGGGGGATGGACAAGTAGAGGAACAGTCCTTCCTGAGGAGCTCTGGGTGACATAAAAAGTTGGTCCAGGGTTGACACATTATAGAATGCCAGGGGCATTATGACAGGGAGAATTCTTTGAGTACCAGGGAGATGCAGAAGGCCAGAAATGGAAACTACGTGGAATGCACTAGTGAAGGCTTCATTTGAAAACACTGAATGCATTTATGGAAGGATGGGGAGGGACATTTAATATAATACTGTGTGGTAGGTGTCTCAGTGATAGGACAGAGCGGGATGGGGGATGCCTGGCATCCCCATTCCAAAGTGGAGCATCTGTATGTGGGGGGATGTGAGTTGTGAATGTGGAAAGTCTAGAACGTTAACTCTTTCCCTCTCTCCTTTGCCATTGCTCCTTCTGTGTGTACACATGTGTGGGGAGGTAGGGACAGGAAGATTCCTGGTTGTATGCCAATGAATGAGGTTTGTGGGAGGCAGGGAGTGAACAGGACAGTCACTGAGTGAAGGGCTTATGTATGTGTGCTTCTGTATACATACT